GTAAAATCTCTAATAAGAATATTTAATCATTAGCTATTATTCAATTTACATAATAATTCCAAACTAATAATTTAATTCACTAAAATCTGAACTAAAATTTAACTCATAAATTCATTTTAAATCAAATCCTAAATTTAATATTCAACCATGGTAATTGCAAATAAGTTCTTAATAAATTTCATCATATACATTACTATTAATTCTTGGACTTAATATCCACGCTGATAAATAATTTACAAATAATTTTCAATAAAATGATGAATTAATTTATCTCAATAATTTCCTGAACTTAAGTTCAATTCAATAAATTAACTCAGTAAAATTATTTCACTCTAAATAAATCATTATGTATTAACTTATCTCAACATCAAATTAATTACAGTAAAATTCCTTCGATTAAATTGTAACGGGGAGGAAAGCACGAGAAGGAAAGCGGGACGTGAGAAGTTGAGATAAAGCTGTAAAATAAATACTGAGGACAATTTTATCCAGTTAATAAAATTTATTGAACAAAAAATAAATTTTAAAAATTAACAAAATAACAAAACTGTTCTACAGTATAAATCTTAATACAAAATTGCTAGAGAACGCTCATTCAATCAGGCACTTGCCAAACTTACAACTAAGTATCAACTAACTTCTTCTAAACATAGATCATTACGCATCTATCTTCTTAGTTTCTAAATTCAATTCATAGACCATTACGTATCTATCCTTAAATTCCTAATTTAATCATAGACCATTTGTTTTGTCGTAAAAATGCTTGGATTTTTTGGGGAACAGTTTAGATGGTTTATTTGTCCCCAAAGGAGGAAAATCCAGCTAGGCTGGGAAAAAACCTCCTTGATGAAAATTATACAAGTAAGCTGTATGTGTGTGTGTGTGTATAAATTACGTTGCAATAACGCAATAGGGGTGAGCTCAGCCGCCTTAGATAGAAAATTATTGATAATTTGAATTAGATAAGTCCCAAGGTGGGAGCTGGTAATATCTAATTAATTTGAACTGTCTCAGAGTGAGAGCTATTAATGTTCACTTGTCTCTAGGTGAGAGCTAATAATATTTGATTGATAACAGAATGTTAGTCAATTGAGTTTGATGTTTATCGTGTAGAAATTAGTCAGATGATTTGAAATTTGAATTTAATTATTTATAAGTTAAATTAAATAAGATCGTAATTAAATGTTCATAATTAATTCAATGTAATTAATGGTTAATATCACGCGTCGATTATGGATTGTCTAAAGCCGCGTGGCTGATGCAATCTTTTGTCACGGTGGCGCGTAATGGCCGCGTGGCGTCACTAAATAAATTTACTTGATTTTATTTATGTTAATTCACTGATTTATTAAACTGATTTAAATGAATTGAGAATTTAAAGTATAGTTGAATCTACTATAATTATTTATATTTAATGAATGATTTAAATATTTGAATGAATGTGAGATGCAAGTAAGAATTATCAAATTGATTAGCACAGAGTAGTCGTACTAGTACAGAAGTCCAAGCACAACTGTTGCAGCAGACCACGCGAGCCGGCTTCTCTACCGCTAACCAAGGCGCGCATGTGCGACGGCCATAGCGTGATACGATTATTCCCGAGTTCATACGATTATTCTCGAGTTTTAACGATTAAGCCCGAAGGCGTAATTTCTCTTATAAGTATTTGACTAGATCTCTTTTCTAGCGGTTAAACACCATTACGCATCTAGATTCTTAATTTTGTTATGTCCACCCGCATTTTTTCTTTAAATTTAAATCACCCGCGCAGATGGAAGACTTCTCCATGCGCGAAAGCCACAATAAAATGTAAGCTACGTGACTGCTGGTTGACTAGCGGGGACTTCTGCAATCTTAGCACCGCGAGTTTTTAAAAAGGCGATCAACAGCCAAATGCACGTCTTTTGTTAGTTAATTCGACTTCCGCGTTTAACTTGACAGGCCCGTGCCTTGTATAAGTCCCTTATCTTAATTTGCGCTGCACTTAAGACGAGTTCAGACGCGGTTTCAACCGGCAGGCCACGTATTAGTTGTAATTGTCTACAAGTCGGGATTCTCAAAGTTCTAATTTGCCCTGCACTTAGGCGAAAGGTCGATAAGTAGATAAAATCTAGAGAGTCAAATCTCAAAGTCTTAATTTGCCCTGCACTTGGGCGAGATTTTGACCAGTAATTAACTTGAGATCTTTCAAAAGCTAAATTTGCGCACTTTACCCTAAGGGGGATTGGAGGACGCTAGCTCAATTAAATAAAATTCATTAATATTAATTTCGATCTCATAAAATTTGTGAAAGTGTAAAAGTTTGGTGTTAATTAAAATAAATCTTAAAAAGAAGTGAAATCTATTTCGAATAAGTTCATTTCATAAACTAAGGCGCCCTTAGAATAAGCAGCCCATATCCATCCACATCCATCCGCTGCAAATACCAACAGAGGGTCCAATCAAGGAAAAGGCACTACGATCAGCCCCGGAATCACGGATCCGACCTTAAGAAATAATCCAGCAAGTAGTAAGTACATCTACTCTTAATTAAAATCCGTACAATCTCAAACGAAGGCGTGGTAAATTCGTACATCGAAACATCCCACATAAACAATTAAAACAACGGAATTAAAACCTCCGTTGCGTATTCTTTAAACTGTTAGTACAAACCTCCACCGTTTACGCTACCACTCTAAAAACGCCCTTGGACATAACATAAAGAACACTGGTGGCAGCGATGGGATTTCGAATACGAAATTATTTAACTTTTGTTTGAGAAAATTTATAATCTTTAAATATTTTCTCTTTTTCTTTTCAAATCTGTCCTTTTAAAATCAAGTAAATCCTACTGTTGAATTTGCTTGAAATTTTTTTTTCCTTCATTTCTATTTTTTTATTGAAATCGATTTAAATTCCCTTGTCTAAATAAAGTCGAGTTTAATTGCATTTAATTTTGTCAATTTCAAAATTTTTCTTATTGACTAAATTTACCAAGTTATTTTATTCTCAAACTTTAGAAAAAATTTTTTTCCCTTTTTATTAAATTTTATATAAAATTGTTAACTCCTGAAATTTTTGAAATTTAAATTGCAAAAGAATTTTTCTTTCGTCATAAATTTTTGTTTAAAGGAGTTATTTCAATATTTTGCAATATTACTTGTCATCATCGGTTTCCGACCTCATATAGGTTTTTAACCTTTTGGCATACTCTACTTATCGTAGTCTAATATTGCAATAAAGAATTCGCTGACGTTTCTTTATTCGAGGTGGTTGCCTCACACGTACTCGCACCTACATTCTTGTCAGCAAAAATATTCTTCCGTATTAAGAAATCTTATACATTTTTTTTGCCAATTAAGCAGTACCACTAGTGACCTAGTTATTTAAATTTATAAATAAAAAATTTTTTTTCCTCCGAAAATTTTTATTTTTCTTTTGAAATTTATTTTTGATTTAAAATTATTTTAAGCCTACTACACATATACTACATCCTACGAGAAGGGTGCTTTGAATTTAGCACCTTCTCTTACAAACACTCACAGAAGTCTCCTAGCTCTAGAAAGGTGCTTTAACTAGCACTTTCTTTAACTGAGAGAACTCTCACTAATTTACACATTTACTTGGCTAAAATAATTCTAACTCACTTAAAAAGCAAAATTTCGAATTTTTGAAAATTTTTGTTTATATGTATACATAAGTTTCTCCTGAGATTTTTGCTGACTTGAAATAGTAAATTCTCGGTAATTGTATACATACCTATATATTTTTTGTGTAATATATTAATTATTACAAATTAAGTATTATTAATTCGTTCTTTTTCTCACTCTTATAAAATTTTTCTTGCATCTTATAAAATTTTTTTAATTGATTTTTAAATTTTGTTTCCCGTCGCGTATAACATTAATAAAGGTCTTTTAATCGTCAATTATTACAGAAAACTTTTGCTCCTACTAAAAATATATTTTTGCGAAAATTTTTTGTGAGGTTTATTCTTTGGGTCTCGTAAAACAAAATTAATAACAAAATTTTTTTATTTGACTACTACGTCAGCTGATTGTCAATTTCCATTATTGACATCCAAAAGTTTATAAAATTTTTTTCCTGTGCTTAGAATTTTCGGTTTTTACATTTTTTTTTAATTTTTATCGGGCCCGTAACAAATTACGCGCCGACAAAAGTTTTCTTTCTCCGAGATTTTACCCGGAATAGGAATCCACCCCGCATTAAATCATCCCAAACCGTGGAATCCTTCGAAGACGAATCGGGAACATTCTTCTTCCCTTGCTCAAACGACTTCCCATTCGGAGACATGGCTAACGGAACTTTCCGTGTAGATACCTCTATAGCTGAGGACAATCTCACTCCTCAAATCCAAATGCTAGCTAAAGAACTCCACGATGCCCTCCCGTACTTCAACGGAGAAGGACCGACCGCCGTCAAAGATTTCGAATTATTCGACGGGATAGTTAGAAACTGGCTACCGAGTATTCCAGCAGAGAAACAAGACTTCTTTGCGCGCCGTATAGCCCAAAAATTATACGGACGAGCCAAGAGATTGGTCGAACATGTCGAATTAACCTCAGTAGAAGATATTTTACTTGTGTTAGGTCAAAAACTTAAAAGGGGCGACCCATAGATCACGTGGCAGAAAAACCTAGCCGTGGCGGCCCCAACAGAATCTGAGAATATCGAAGATTTCTATTATCGATTAAGTGAGATGGTTACTCGTATTGAGCTCAACGTTCCCGAAGCCGATAGGGCCGTAGTAAAACGGACCTTTGAAAAAACAGCTGCTAATACATTGTACGAATACTTACCAGACTTTTTACGATGCCTGTGTAAAATCAAAAAGGCGGAAACGCTAGATAACATGTACAAAGCCATCGAAAATGACGCGTACAGAAGACCGGAACGTAGACGCGCTATGAGAGACGACGGACTTACACCGGGAATCAATTCCACCTTCAGTGGAATTTTACAAACGACCAAGACAAGACGGTAATCGACATTACCCACAAATGCCGAGATCTTCTCGAGAGTACAGCGACAGAGGTAATTATCGCGTATTACCTCGCACTATAACGTATCAAGAATACGGTCAGGCTCCAATGACGATCGCCTCTGGACCCATACACTCGACAGACTATTATGAAGACCCATTTCCTGACTTGTACGAAGACGGTCACTATGGTCCAGGCTATCAGAGAGAGCAACAAATGATGGGCTCTACTTTCGCGTTCGGAACCGAGAGAAATCCTCAATATGGGCCCAGGGCTCAAAATTACTATCAACCGCGAACTTTTCAAAATTATAATCAAAACCGTTATCACCCGGGAGTAATAGGTCCCACTAGAAGAACTGTTCGTTTTGAAGAAGATGAAGACTCGGAGGAGGCTGAATTGCGACATAAATCAGATCCTTCGATAATCTGCAACTGTCCATTTTGCCCAAAAGGAGAACGTCAAGACGTATACGATCATTTAAACGGGTCGGGCGCTCGTCAATCGGAGGCAATGGCAAGTATGCCCGTCCAGTCTCCGTCTACTACAATGAGGGCCCCCAACAGTTACCAACAGTACCCAAAGGGCCAATATCGGGGCTTCCAGAATCAATACCCCCGATCGATTCTTCAAAACTCGCAGAAACAAGTCATAGAACAACAATCGACGATCACGGAACCGATGACTCTCCCGAGACCGGAACAACAGCCAACACAGAACGGTATGATGTCACCGGGACAACAAAATCCGCAACTGATGACTGCAGGAGAGTTACGAGCCCAACCAAGGACGAGCCAAAATGCCTAACAACAGGAAGAGGCCTGTCAGTCTATCTACGAAGTCCAGCGCTTCGAAACGAGGGAGTAAACGCCCTTCTCGACACCGTCTCCGACCTCAATCTGCTTTGTATAGAAGAACTATACGATGAAGCCCTTTGTAACATCGAAAATACGGGAGTAGTAGGAGGTATTGCCACGGGCTCAATGCCTATAACCGATTCGATTAGTCTTAAAATATTCGGCGTTAAAATTACGTTCCATCTCGTTCCAGAACCTCCCGGCGGTTATAGGGCCTCTCTAGGAAACGAATTTTTCGTTCAAAATTGTGTAAACATTTCATTTTACTGGAACACTTGAGTAATGAAAAATAGGCCTATAAGTCCAATACCGATAATTAACCCACGAAAGTTCCTTGAGCAAAAGATCCTCGCTCTAGGAACTGGGCCGAAAATATACTTATCGTGTAATCAGCTCCTAGGGAATTATCAGCGATTCCTCATCGATACCGGGGGGGATGTATGCCTCATCAATGCATCCGCTTTAAAACCCGAAACAATTATCGACATTGGAAAGGTTAGAAGATTCCGAGGTCTCAGCGACAGTACCTTCGAGACTCTAGGAGTAGCCAGATTAAAAATTCTTAATATCGAAGTCAAGTTTTAAGTTTGTCGCGAGGATTTACCATTCCCCGGGATGGGAATCCTGGGAAATAACTTCCTTGAAACCGAAAAAGCAGAAATTTCTTATGATAATCAAACTCTAGCTTTATTATCTCGTCCTTCAAAAATAATCTCCTTCAGCCTTGAAACAACACCTTCCTCGAATTATACAATACCACCTCGTATGAAAATGGTAATAGCAGTACCTGTCCGAGATTTCGAGAAGAACGAGGGATACCTCCCTCGAATGGATCTTCCAGAGGGAGTGCTCGGAGGTGAAGCTGTTGTCAAGGTAGAGGATGGATACGCTACGTGTATGGTTATAAATCTCAACTCGAATTCGGTTGACATAGAAATCGGACCACAAACACTCGAAGAGTTCGAGTTCGATAACCCTAGTTCAGACGGGGAGGAGTCCGATGACCCTTTGATAGAAAATTCCAGCCGTATAATTAATCCGGAAGAACGTATCAAGACGATACTTCAGAAAATTCCTCTCAGTCATCTAAACGAGGATGAAAGAGAGCAAGTCCAGACTCTCATTCGAAACAATCACAATGTTTTTCATCTTCCCGGAGATAAACTAGGCCGTTCTAAAAATTTCACCTGCCGGATAGAAACTATCACCAATGATCCGGTGAGAATAAAGCAATACCGATTTCCCCCAGAACATCGGGAAGAAATCGCCAGGCAGGTTGAAAATCTCGAAAAACAAGGGATTATAAGAAAATCTAATTCTCCGTACAATTCACCATTGTGGATTGTACCAAAAAAATCTAATGACCCTTCTATAAAAAAATTAGGAATACGGTTGACCCTGAAGGCCATCCCTGCAACTTCCCGCCAATTCTATACCTAAACGCTTGAAATTGCACTTATGACGTTTTAGAGCTCTTTGAGCTCATAAATACAATTTGTGTATTATTTTGAGCTCTCCGAGCTCAAAAAATAGCTTTTGTATGCTTTTGAGCTCTTCGAGCTCAAAAGCTCGAGTAACAACATAAAATAGCCGCAACACAGCCGCAAAAAATCTGCGATAAAATCAAGAAATTATAATTGCCGCAACACCGCCGCAAGACGGCTGCACTGTAAGAAATATTTCTCAAATACTTCTAAAATCCCACAACACCGCCGAAACACAGCTGTAACACATCTGTGACGAAATAATAAAATTGTGATTGCCGCAACACCGCTGCAACAAAGCTGCAACACCCTGAGTGAAAATGAAATTATTATTTTTTACGAAAAAATAATAAATTTTGACTGACTGCCGCAACACCGCTGCACTACCTTCGCTTGGTAGTATACATTGAAATAAAATATTTGTTGATCATTCAAATAGCTAAACTAAATTCTCTCAGTTAAATACATGTTTCAGCGCAGTTGGTAATGTTCGAGACTTTCATGCAGGCGGCCCGGGTTCGATTCCCATCGTAGTTTTTAAGCTTTAAAATTTTTTCAGGGTATTTCGATAGACTCAACGCTTCTGTGCAATCCGATAACGAAATTAAAAATCTACATCAACAATACGACAAAAAAGAATCAATAATTTCGTGGTACTTCGGCCTGATTTCAAAATTTTTTTTTGTTTGAATATTAGGCATTTGAATGAAAGGAGGTTAAACAATAGGTCTTACATTAAAATTTATGTTCGGATTATTTATTAATTAATAATTGCGTGATAAATTAATTATGATGCCATTTTTTGTGAAATTGTAGCTATGCTTAAGCATTGGGACAGTGTTGCAGCGGTGTTGCGGCGATGTTGCGTCGACGATTCAAATAACATAAAGCAGCGTGCAGCTGTATTGCGGCGGTGTTGCAGCGATGGTTTAGATTAAAATTGAGCAGCGTGCAGCTGTGTTGCAGCGGTGTTGCGGTTATGCGAGTCGAGAATAAAGATTTCGTGTTGCGGCGATTTTGTCTTCCAAACGGCTGTGGTGCAGCGGTGTTGCGGCAGTGGATACAAATTTTATTTTTTAAAAATCAATTTTTATTTTTACTCGGGAGTTTGATAGAAGTTTGATAAAACACTATTTTTTTAATTTTCAAATCGCAATAACTTTTGAATGAATGAACCGATTTTCACGCGGTTGGCGACATTCTACGCAGTTTTTTAATTCTCATAAAGAATTCTTAAGTTTCAATTGGTTAAACGGTTTTTCGGTTTTTTTTCGTTCATGATATCTCTTGAACGAATCAACCGATTTTGACCGGATTGGCGGCAATCGACGTGGTTTTTTAAGGTTGAGAGCTGATTAGTTTTTGAAATCGATCGGTAAAGCCGTTTAAAAGTTATTCCAAAAAAACCACTTCTGAAAAAAATTTTTTTCCTATTTTTTTCTATTTTTTTGGAGATTTCTCTAAATTTCTCAAAATCTATCGGTCCGAATCGGTTCAAATTTTTAGGAAATCTAAGTTTAGTGAAGCCCTTTCGAATGGCACCAACCGCGATGAAATCGGTTCAACCGTTCAAAAGTTATAAGAGGTTTACATACTTAAACACACACACACACACGCACACACACACACACACACACACACACACACACACACGCGCGCGCGCGCACACACACACACACACACACACACACACACACACACACACACACACACACACACGCGCACACACACAGCACACACACACACACGACACACACACGACACTACACACACGACACACACACACACCTAAAAACAGCTATAAAGTCAGCACCGGCGTTATTTCTGGACGCTTACAACACATGCCTCGAAGAAGGGACTTTCTTAGTATGACGCTGCGTCGAGTCGCCACATATCCAGGCCAAATATCTATGCCTAGAATCCGTAAAAAGGATTCCCGCCCCCCCTAATGGGAAAAACACACACACACACACACACACACACACACACACACACACACACACACACACACATACAGACATAGTGACACCCTCGCGGGAATAGTCAGGGAAGCTTCCTAGGACCTTAAAACGTCGAGATCTGATGAAAACTCGATTTTCAAAAAACGGGGTAAAACCAATAACTTCCCGATTTTTGAAAATTTTTAATTTTCTTAGCGGGAAGTTAAAAATATAGAATGGTTATCGACTTCAGACAATTAAATAAAATAACCAGGGGGGATGCCTACCCTCTTCCCCTAATTATCGATATTTTAGATCAATTAGGTGACGCAAATTTCTTCAGCGTCTTTGATCTGGCCATGGGATTCCACCAGGTCCCAATGCATCCCGCAGATGCGCCAAAAACAGCATTTTCTACGCCAGACGGTCACTGGGAATATTGTTGTATGCCCTTTGGTCTAGAATGTGCCCCGTCTATCTTTCAGCGAATGATGGACTCCACACTAAGCGGGTTAAAAAGCACAGAACTTTTCATTTATATAGACGATTTAGTTAGCTATGGCAAAACCCTAGAAGAGCATGGGGTAAGAGTTCAACGACTCTTCAATCGATTAAGAGAAGCAGGTCTCACGCTTCAACCCGAAAAATGTAAATTTCTCTGTCCGGAAGTAGATTATCTAGGTCACGTAATAACTAAAGAAGGCATAAGACCAGATCCAAAGAAAGTTTCATCTCTTAAAAATGCCTCACGACCTAGAAATCATACTGAAGCCAGGAAATTTATGGGACTTGCAAATTATTATCGGAGATTCATTCAAAATTTCGCTGAAAGGGCTAAGCCCATAACGGACCTTACTCAAAAAACTAAACCTTTCGTATGGACAGAGGAAGCACAATTGGCATTTAATGATATCAAAAATGCTCTCTGTGAAGACTCTTTCCTAAAATATCCAGATTTCAACAAACCCTTCATCCTAGCTGTCAGCGCGTCTGATTCGGGAATATCCGGAATCCTCAGTCAAGCGACGACAGTGGGGAACGATGACCTAGAAGGAGACGGAGAGAAAATAGTGTCGTGTGTCTCACGAGTCTTTCACGACACTGAAACCCGATACACTGACATAGAAAAACAATGCCTCGCGGTAGTATATGCGATTCAACAGTTCCGACCGTATCTTCAAAAACATTTTACTTTAATAACTAGTAGCCCTTGTATCACCTGGTTAAGAGATAGCGTGACTATCACCGAAAGACAAGCTAAATGGCGCTCTTATTTAAGTAGATACAAATTTAACGTCGTAGTCCGTCATAAAATCACAGAACAATACGCAGAAGGGCTCTCGTATAACCCGGAAAGACGCCAGGAACCTCGAGAACATCCGATAAACGATACTACCGAAAATCATTCGCTAGCATTACCAATCTCTGCATTATCAAAAACAAAAAAATCGAATAAAAAGCTCTCCGACGAAGAGGCGATTCAATCAGTCAAACGCCCCGGTCACCCTCTCGGGTCTAAAAATAGGCCAAGAGTAAGTAGCGCTCCAGAAGTAAGAGAGACGATTGCCTCTCGTCTCAGAAAAAGAGAATTAGGTAAAACACGAGTCCCACCAAAAATAAATTATCGCGAAACCGGCAGACTGGTTATAAACTCAGAAGATCCCGAGTCACAAGAAACTGCAAATGAAGAACAGGGGGATGACGAAGTCTTCCTACCAGTCTCCATCTCAGGACCATCCACGAATAATCCAACTCCAGACGTTGGACAAGAGGGGGACGATGAAGCGGAGAAAGATGATGAAGCCGAAAAGGACAACGAAACGACCGTTCCACAAAAACAACGGCGAAAAACTCGCGAACTAGTAAAGATGTTCGATGAACTCCTCCAAAGGCGGCCTCCATCGGAAAATATCTACACAGAGAGGGCTCTAGAAAGAATCCGCAGAGAAGAAGCAATATCTAATTATACTCCCTAAGAGTATGCCGAAATAAAACGAACTAGTTCCGACACCGCGAAAAATATTCGCCAATCATTAAACAAACTTCCACCTCTCTGGCGAAGTGAAGATGACTCGTTAAATGAAGATACAGCGCCTGAAATTAATGTCGACGAATTTTTGAGAGATAACAGCAACCAGTCCGAAGAAGGATCAAGCAACATCAGTCCAGAAGAAACCGGAGGAATCGAAGATCCCAGCGAAACAGAACCTCCTATCATTATAGAGCCAGAGCCTTCGACTTTAGTCAACAACGTAAATACGAGAAATAAAAATAATTTAACCCCTCAGAACGCAAATCGATCGCGATTCACAGGATATTTAGGGGACGGTCCAGAACCCCGAACTCCAATATTCGGAAGAGTTCTCATTCCTGACGAACTAGCGGCCATGGGTATACGTTACGACCATGCTAGCGGCCAAATCGTAGACGAAAACGGTAAGGGAATAAATGAAACGGCCGAAACCGAATCGGCCGACCCGGACAACACCCTTACCGAATCGGAAGGGAGACGATCGAACGAACAATCGCCAAATATAAGTAAATTAATAAATTCACAAAATAGTAAAAATAAATCGCGCAAAAATTCAGAAAATTCTAGCGATCCACATAAACCCAACGATAGACCGACTACAAGCGGGAATATAACAGTGGGGGATGAGGTAGGGAACCATCGATTCGGTCCACCCTTTATCGCCTACGATCTTCCAACATTCGAAGAAGCGGAAGATATCTTCGCCGAAAGACATCTTCGGCCAAAGTTATCTTCACCCTCGAGTTCCGATGAAAATATACTGCCGAAGGGTCCCGAAATCTAAATAAAATTTTCAACCAGCCGTGACGGGCTCACTTATGCCCAAGATCACTTAGGGCACTTTCTAGCAGCCGATTGTGAGATAATAAAACCCGTAGCAAAATTACTCCGTGACCTAAAATTTATAAATCCCGATGACCTCCACGCATCGAAACCCTCAAAGGGGGATGTATTCGTATAAAGCGAAATATGCCAGAAAAATAAACTCACGCGAATAAAAACGAAACAGCCTATGTCTATTAGAGATACACCCTTTGAACCTTTCGAAAAAATTAGCATAGACACTGTAGGACCCCTACCCATGACTCCCGATGGAAATTTACATATCTTAACTATACAAGATAATTTTTCTAAAGCAGCCGCGGCAGTTCCTCTCCCCGATATCAGAGCAGTCACTATTGCGGATGCTTTATTAAATCACTATATAGCTCTTTACGGGTGCCCCCGCGTAATTCTATCAGATAAAAGCACCTCATTTACCAGTAAACTAATACAACAACTTGCTAGAGCATTAAAAATTCAAAGAATAACAACTTCCTCTTATTATCCTCAATCGAACGGATCTTTAGAGAGATCTCACCAGCCCTTAGTCGATTACCTCCGGGCCTATGTAGATAAATTTAATAACTGGGATCGGTATATCCCAATGGCAATGCTAAATTATAATACAACCGTTCATACAGCCACGAAATTTACACCTTACGAAATTTTGTACGGAAGAAAGGCTCGTAGCCCAACTCAATTCCCGGATTTCAGTAAAATCGAATCGTATAACGATTATTTAGCAGATTTAATTAGTCAAATATCCGAAGTTCAAAGAATATCCACAGAAAATTTAACTCGAGCAAAACACGAATCAAAAGTACGATTCGACAAACATATTCATCCGGCAAAATTTAAGGTAGGAGATCTCGTGTACACGCTGAAAGAACCGAGAAAAAATAAATTAGATCTTTATTATACTGGACCGTACAAAATAGCTGAAATAAATGAAATGGGAAACTTAATTATCGAAAAAGAAAACGGGAAACGAAAATTACTTCACCCGAATAAGACTAAACCAGCCAGTTGCGAAAAATTTTACCAAAAAGCAATCCAAGTCGTCTGTTTCAGAGCAAGAAAAAAATCAATCCAACATGAACATTGTATTACTTCTCTTCCTGGGGCTCTTACACCTGGCCTGGGGCTCAGGGGAAGTCCAAAATGAAACCATTGTACGATCCATTCAAGAAAATCAACTGGTCATATCCAAGAGTCAATAGCCATCAAGAAATGCAGACAGAAATGGAACAAGTATAACATCAACCGAGACAACTCCTCGAAGATCTACGACTAGAAGAATTCGACCCACGAAACCGCATCAAGAGAGCTCCTTGATTCGGCTTCGTAGGCACAATCGCACGAGAGTTGTTCGGAACCATAAAACCATTAAACATTAATCCAGCTACGATCATCGATAAATTCGAGCTATGAAGCCAAGGGCTAGAAGAAAATAAAGAAAAATGTCGCTCATAGCCTTAAACTACCAAAAAGAAGAAACCAATCGTAAATGAAGAACAGAGGGACGACGAAATCTTCCTACGACTCCCTACACCAGGATCAACTACAAGTAAACCGACTTCAGACATTGGCCAAGAGGGGGACGACGAGGCGGAAGTCAACGAACCACCTCCAACAAGAACCGACAACGAGAAGAACTCCTCCATGGCAACAACAATAACAACCAAAGAAGCTCTTGAGACCATCAAGACATCAAAGAAGTCGAAAATATCCCGACTGAGAGACTACAAATCACCGATTTAGACAACAATCCCGGCATCAACATCGTAAAAGTTAAGATCATTTATAAAATTTTTTTTACAAACTGATGGCTCCTTTGCGGAAAAGTAAGAAAATAATTTAAAATGATAACAAAATTTTTCTCTCTCATTAAGAAATTTCGTTTTAACAAAAATTTAAAATTGTCAAAAATGAGCCAACAGTTTGTATAAACAGTTTAATTCAAGGAACCTAATTGAAATTTTTAAATATCATCATATATTAGAGATAGTATAATGAACATCAGTAAATTTAGCTGAATTCTGGAAAAGTTTTGCTGCTTTATGACTCACAAGACCGAAAATAAGATTATCTCCGGCCTTGGGGGGACGAGTGGGAACAGCACAAAACCCCGATTAAATTTTTTTTGCTTTATATAAAATTACTATTCATAAAAAATTTTTTTTTAATTTTACTTTTCCATTATGCTATCACTATAATTTTATTAACAATATAGTAAACAAAATTTTTCTTTATATATAATTATTATACTTTATAAATAATAACTAAAAGAAAATCGAGCTAACGTCACTCATATGAAATTTTTCAAAAAAATTAAGAAATCATAAAATTTTTTTTATATAATTCAAAACGATTATTTCAAACGTCTAATATTCAATAAGAATAAGTATAAATAATTAATAGAACAGGGAGAGTCATCTAATCGCAATTATAATAGAGCCGTTGCGCACGTACTCACATATACCCATTGATCGAGCTATATAAACTCTTATAAAATTTCCTTTTCCTTTAAAATAAGCTTTTATTCTTTTATTTTTTTCCTTTCTTTTTTTCCACTTATTTTCTAAGTTCTAATTAATTATTTATTTATAAAAAAAAATTTTTTTTTACCTTTCTCTTCCTCTTTATTCAAAAATAAAAAAAAAATTTTCTCTTATCCACCTAAAGCTATTACTTAACCTATTTCTATTTACTACTTATACTACCGTTACAACTACCTGAATTACTATGGTGTAGGATAGAAGGCATAGGCATTATAAAATAAAAAAAATTAAAACCAAATTTTTCCTTTTTTTATATATATTTAAAATAAAATAAAAAGAAGAAGACAGAAGGAAAATTTTCCTAATATCTATATATATGTTCACTTATACCTATAACGCAGAAGCAGAATGATCTGCCATTTAATCTCCATTGCCAGCCACCCGATATCATCTGATACGCCTAAAAGGAATAACAGATAAATTAATCTCTTGGCAAGAGATGGAACGATTGGAATATACTTGTTATATTACAAATTCTGCTAACCTTCTCTCCACAAATGGCAAGGGCCATCTAGTACCAGGTACCGTAGTTTTCGAAATTTTTCCCAACAGTGTACTTCTCTTCTTCTTTTCTCTCTTTAAAAAATCTCTTAAATACGATGTTAGCTCGATCACTGCTGTGACAATAGTGATACCTGACACGGCTTCGCAAAATCAAGAGGCAAAGACGATTGATTAACCATCCGTCAGCATATAATACAGCGCGAAATAAAAATACAAATTAAATTTAAATATTCGCGCCAGATGACTTTCCTTATTACTTTTTTATTATGTTAAGAATATTTTTATCTAAAGATTGTAAGTGGCTCTCGCTTATGGGGAAGGTGGCCATAGGAAAACCGAAAAACTATACTAGCTTCTCGCTTTTCCGGGGGAATGTTATGTCGACCCGCATTTTTTCTTTAAATTTAAATCACCCGCGCAGATGAAAGACTTCTCCATGCACGAAAGCCACAATAAAATGTAAGCTACGTGACTGCTGGTTGACTAGCGGGGACTTCTGCAATCTTAGCACCGCGAGTTTTTAAAAAGGCGATCAACAGCCAAATGCACGTCTTTTGTTAGTTAATTCGACTTCCGCGTTTAACTTGACAGGCCCGTGCCTTGTATAAGTCCCTTATCTTAATTTGCGCTGCACTTAAGACGAGTTCAGACGCGGTTTCAACCGGCAGGCCACGTATTAGTTGTAATTGTCTACAAGTCGGGATTCTCAAAGTTCTAATTTGCCCTGCACTTAGGCGAAAGGTCGATAAGTAGATAAAATCTAGAGAGTCAAATCTCAAAGTCTTAATTTGCCCTGCACTTGGGCGAGATTTTGACCAGTAATTAACTTAAGATCTTTCAAAAGCTAAATTTGCGCACTTTACCCTAAGGGGGATTGGAGGACGCTAGCTCAATTAAATAAAATTCATTAATATTAATTTCGATCTCATAAAATTTGTGAAAGTGTAAAAGTTTGGTGTTAATTAAAATAAATCTTAAAAAGAAGTGAAATCTATTTCGAATAAGTTCATTTCATAAACTAAGGCGCCCTTAGAATAAGCAGCCCATATCCATCCACATCCATCCGCTGCAAATACCAACAGAGGGTCCAATCAAGGAAAAGGCACTACGATCAGCCCCGGAATCACGGATCCGACCTTAAGAAATAATCCAGCAAGTAGTAAGTACATCTACTCCTAATTAAAATCCGTACAATCTCAAACGAAGGCGTGGTAAATTCGTACATCGAAACGTCCCACATAAACAATTACAACAACGGAATTAAAACCTCCGTTGCGTATTCTTTAAACTGTTAGTCCAAACCTCCACCATTTACGCTACCGCTCTAAAAACGCCCTTGGACATAATAATTTTCTAAACCCTCGTCCAACTGACGGAATGACTAACAACATAATTTTCCAAATAAAACTCCTTAATTATTCAACTATCTAAATCACTAACAAACTAAAATCCCGATTTTTATCTTAACATGATTCACAAATCTTCAGTGAACTCTTCACATAACACTCGGTTTCTCCAAATTCAATATCTCATAAAATTCTTACTAACTAACTTCATTTCAAAATTCTTCTTAAATAAAATTTCGACCAATTTTCTTAATTAAATTTAATTCCCAAATTAACTAAATTTACTGAATTTCCGAATCTTCTTATCAAAAATCTCAATTAATTTTCCTTAATTCAATCAATTACATAATAAGCTCATTTAGCACTTTTCTAAATCAATTAACATACTTAAATTTAGCCACCGGCCTAAATTTAATTTTCCAAACTTACAATACTATCATAAACTATTAAATTCAACGCCAGCATTTGTCTAATTGCAAATAATGCTTCTTACATTAATTAATCACGAAAATTACTATATTAATTCATTTTCCTGCTAAAATTTCCAACTA